AATCAGAGTTGTTGCCAACTGGTTGGATCACCAGCCCCTCTCCTCAAATCTCTAGGACTAACAGCACTGGAAATATGTTTCTTGGGCTGACAGATCACTGTAAAAATGAGACCTGGACAAAACACTAAGAGATTTCATTCTACTGATCTCTTTGTGACAATCCTTTTATGAGGTAGTTTTTTTTTAAGCTTTCTTTTTTAAAGTTTTGCATTTTCAAAAAGCATACTCAATCAAATGGGCAAAAAGAAAAAAATATTCCATTGAAAAATGAAGAGACTACCACATAATATCACAGTGAACAGAGGAAAAATAATGACCTTTGTGGACTCTGGATATTATCTTCTCGATCATGGGTCATCAAATGGTGGCCTGCTACATGTTGTAAATAAAGTTTTATTGGCACATAGTCACACCCATTTATTTACCTATTATCTATGGTTGCTTTCTCACTACAAAGGCAGAGTTGAGTAGTTTCAACAGATTCTATATGGTCCACAAAGCCTAAAATATCTACTGTTTGATCTATGCAGAAAAAGTTTGCTGGTCCCTGCTGTAGGGGTAAAATAATAAAAGGGAATGGTTTCAAGTCATTTAAGATGCTCATGGAAAGATGTGAGCCAATTTCCAGTTATAGCTATAACTCTCAGTTCAATAATAGTAAAAACTATTTTTTCTTTGGAACATTAGTGAGTTAACTTGGGATGAATCAATTTTTGTGAAGCACAGAGAGAGGTTAAATTTGCAATGAATTAATCTTTGCAAAATTTAAGAGAGATTAGGCTATCACTTGTTAATAAGTCTGTATAGTTAAAAAGGATAAAAGGATTCCTATAGGGTTTTTTTGGTGTGCTATTTATTTATTTATTTTGGATAATATATTGGATAAACTTTATTTTTTAATTAGAAATTTAAAAAAATGAAGTACAGTCAGTTACAATGTGTCAATTTCTGGTGTACAGCACAATGTCACAATCATGCATATACATACATACGTATGTTCGTTTTCATTCTTTTTCATTAACCTATAGGTTTTTGAAATAGCTGAAAATGATATATGATGGTGTAGAAGAAAGCATAAAAATATGCTATAAGATGTTAAAATCAACATTAATAGGATTTTTTTCCTTAAAAATGATCTTCTTTAAGTCATTTAATTTCTCTGGGTCTCAATTTCAATATATGTAAAAGGAAGGGGTTGGACCAAATGTTCACTGAGGATATTTCCAGGTCTAAAACTGCAAAGCACAAAATAAACTGAAATTCTTAGTTGGCTTGAAGGATTTTAAGTCTCTTATGAGAATATACCAAAATGTTTAGAATGGATAGATCTGGCATGTGGGATTGTGGGTCGTTTATTTACCTTTCTTTTACTCCTCTGTATTTTCTTCTATGAACATAACTCTTTCATAACAAAACAGAACAATAAAAACTACTTAAAAATTAAAAAGAGCTTTTTGTTTTAAAAAAGAAGATATGCTGAGCGGAGGCAAGATGGCGGAGTAGAAGGACGCTTGTAAGTCACCCTCTCCCACAAATACACCAAGATCCACATCTAC